GAATCCACAGGCCGAGAGCCTAAGGGCCAGATAATGCAAGGATAACATCATGATGATGTCAACCACGTTATAAAATTAATAAAAAATGTAAAAAATTGGCGAAATCAGCTTTAACAATCATAAAAGACAGCAACAAAATTTTCCAAGGAACCAAATCTGACGTGGCATGATATGAAATAGTATCCCAACCAGTCGTCTCTAACCATTTGCAGAGTCCCCACAGTCCTCGACTCGGGATACTCCGATGTGGACATTATTAGAGCCCTCCACATGGCCAACAACGACGTCACCGCCCCAATCAACATAATCTTCGACACGCCCAGTTTCAAATTGAAGGACCGGCTTTTTGGAAGAATCCCCAAATTTTAAGCTCCGAGGTTGTAAATTTGAAGCAAATTGGGGGTCAGAAGAGTAATTGCACTTTGGGTACCGAAGGAAATGGGAGTAGTTGTCCCAGTAATTCAGGGGACGACGTGGTTGAAGAAGTCGCGGTTGCACGGTGCGAGAGCTCGGCTGCGAGCCAGTGGTGGTTTGTGGGCAGCGGTGAAGTTTCAGGTTTATCAACGTGTAAAGTTCGGAGGCTTAGGCCTGGAGACGAAGTGGATTTTACTTTTCCAACAAAGAGCAGTTCGACATCTCCGTCACTCGGCAAGGCTTTTGGGAAGGGACGGCGGGCAGCTGCTTGTTCGGAGATTGTGAGGTTTTCAAACGAAGGCGGGCAACTGCTTGTTCGGAGATTGTGAGGTTTTCAAACGAACACATTCATTATTTATTTATATTTTTTGCTGAAATTGTAGAAGTTATTTATATTTGTAAAATATAAAATAAAATTATAAAAAGAAAATAATATAATAAAATAATAAAATAATCGTTCAATTTGATATATTACGGTGGAGATTAAAATTTTAAAAAATATAAAATTACCACATAAACCTTTGAATTTAAATTTTATATTTAAAATTTGACATTTACTTTTAAGATAGTCTTAATCACAAATCTCTAACTACCGTGAGTTCCATAATTGCACCCCAACTACACCAAGCAACTAGTTTATAAGTATCGATCTCCTAAATCCCATTTATCCACCCACACACACTTCTATCTTCAAACCCTCCGCGTCCTCCTCCTCCCTTGTTAGATTCTGCTCCTCCCCATCACCACCATCAATGGCGGAGATTTCTAAGGTGAAAGTCACCGGAAAAACCCATGTGAAGCCCAACAAGAAGATAGGCAACCAACAATGTCAGCTGGTCACATTTGACCTACCCTACCTGGCATTTTACTACAACCAAAAGCTCCTTTTTTACAAGGGGGGTGAGTTCGAGGAAATGGTGAAGAAACTGAAGGAGGGTTTGGAGGTGGTTCTGGTGGAGTTTTACCAGCTAGCCGGGAAGCTCGGGAAGGACGAGGAGGGAGTGTTTAGGGTTGAGTATGGTGATGAGATGGAGGGTGTGGAGGTGGCCGAGGCGGCGGCGGAGGAGATCAGCATAGCTGATCTGGCAGTTGAGGAAGGCACCAGCGCTTTGAAGGACTTCATCCCCTACAACGGGGTCTTGAACTTGGAGGGCGTTCACAGGCCTTTGCTAGCAGTCCAGGTAATTAATCAATGCTAAGTAAGCTACGTAATCTTGCTTAAATGTGGTCAGCGGTCCAAATATCTTGTTAAATAATGCATTACTGTTGTTGTTAATCTCAGTATCTAATTAATCTTTAGGGAAAAAAAATCCAACAACTTGGCTTGATGAAGTTATTAAAGAGGGGACCCAATAAATACTTTGTGATGTCAATTTAGAGAGATTTTTCGCCTAGAATATATGGTAGGGCATCACAAGTTATTAAACAATTGAATAAATATTTGAAAAAAAAAAAATTCTCCAACTATATAATAACATGTAATGTTTTGTACTATATACCGGACAAACTGAAAAATCAATCAATTTGAAAGTGGGGTGGGTGGAGTTGAAGGGTTTTTTCTTGAAAAAATACCATAGTAATTTGAAACTTTTAATTACATGCTATTTTATGTGACATGAAATGTATTTATTATGGTTGTTGGCCTCTATTTAATTTCTGATTTCTTTGGGGACCTAAATAAATGCTTTCTCATCCAAATGGCTAGTGTTTCACGCCACCGTTAGGTTTAGAATGCGATGTTTTAAGGTTGGTTTAGAAGTTATTTTTGCAAGAAGTATTTAAAAGTGCTTTTTTTTTAAAAAAAAGAAAAACGCTTCATTTACTATTTACCATGATTAATCTTTTCTATCATTGATTTGGCAGTTAACCAAGCTGAAAGATGGACTGGCAATGGGGTGCGCCTTCAACCATGCAATACTAGACGGGACGTCCACGTGGCACTTCATGAGCTCATGGGCCGAGATCTGCAATGGATCCAAATCCATTTCGACCCAACCATTCCTGGACCGGACCCAGGCCCGAAACACGCGCGTGAAGCTCGATCTCTCCCCGCCGGCATCAAACGGCAAGGTCCCCGCCAACGGTAAAACGGAGCCCAACCTGAGAGAGAGAGTCTTCAAATTCTCTGAAGCAGCGATCGACAAGATCAAGTCAACGGTCAACGCAAACCCGCCATCCGACGGCTCAAAACCGTTCTCCACATTCCAGTCCCTCTCCGTCCACATCTGGCGCCACGTCACCCAAGCCCGCCAACTAAAACCCGAAGACTACACGGTGTTCACCGTCTTCGCCGACTGCCGCAAACGGGTCGACCCGCCCGTGCCCGACGCCTACTTCGGGAACCTAATCCAGGCCGTGTTCACCGTCACGGCCGCCGGACTGCTGTCGGCGAACCCGCCGGAGTTCGGCGCATCGATCATCCAGAAGGCGATCGAGGGGCACAACGCGAAAGCGATCGATCAGAGGAACACCGACTGGGAGAGCTCGCCGAAGATTTTCGAGTTCAAGGACGCGGGAGTGAACTGCGTGGCGGTGGGGAGCTCGCCGAGGTTCCAGGTCTATGAGGTGGATTTCGGGTGGGGAAAACCCGAGGGGGTGAGAAGCGGGTCGAACAACCGGTTCGACGGGATGGTGTATTTGTACCAGGGGAAGAGCGGCGGGAGGAGCATCGATGTGGAGATTAGCTTGGAGGCTCCGACGATGGAGAAGCTCGAACAGGACAAGGGCTTTCTGGTCATTGACAACTAGTTAATTAAGCTTGGGATTTGGGTTAAGATAATTTGAAGGCAGTTTAATTAGTAGTGGTAACTATAGGATTAAGATTAATTAATTGGTTCGTGTGTGGGTTTAGTTGAGGCAGGCTTTTAATAATTACTGGACTCACATTCGGTCCGATTTTTATTTAGATTTGTATGGGAGAGTGAGTTATTTGCTGGTCTGTTCACTTAATGCTCTTTTTTATTTTATTTTTCGCTTGGATATTAAATTTTAATTATAAAAAGTTTACTATTCCAATTCTAATTTAAATCTAATGTCACATTCTCTTTAAGAGGAGGATCCCATTTTACCCAAAAAATAAGTGAAAATAAGAATTATGTGGAGAGCCGTCCGATCTCTTGTGATAATATCGTGGGTTTTGTGACTGAACATGTCATATTACTTTATTTTATTTTTTCATATCTTTTATTTTATTTTTAACGGGATAAAGAACTCGTTGTCTCACGAGGAGACGCATATCAATTGAACGCCGATATTTCAAATTCAGATATGGTCTCCTCTGTCTTATCGTTCTACATGTTACACTTTTTGTTGCTTTCGTGAAAGGGGTTGATTGAAACTCTTAGTGGGTTTTCGCCGACGAGATTTTTCTGTTCACCAAAGAAGAGGATCTTTCAAATGTGTTTTGGGCATTCAAATCGGGGTAATGAGTTTGTTAAGTCCCCTGGCCGCAAGATCTCACTAAAAGCGATCGGACGGCTTCCGCATCGTCCCATCTTTTATCAATTTGTATACTATTTTCTTCTCTCTCTCTCTCACAAAAAGTGCCATAATTCAACTAAATCATTAGTAAAGAATTTTGGAACCAATCATTAACAAAGATGTAATTAAATTCTGAAAAAAAATACTTAAAATGTTTTATCGAAGAAGCACATAACCGGTGCTTCTTGTAGAAAACAATTTAAGTGCTTTTGAAACCCAAAAATATTTTCTCTAAAAACACTTTCAGTTATTTTAAAAGTACATTCAAACGAGCTCATAATCGGTAGGCAAAATGAAAGATAAAATGGTTGAAATAACTAATCACTTTACTAAGAAAAAACAAATTATAGTTTAGTTCTGTAAGTAGTTTAAAATTACACTTGTTTAGTTTCAGACTCAAACCAAATCGGTTCAATTTGTTTATGTCAAAATTAATTGTTCCCATACAAACTACTGTTTTTTGGTGGCTTAAATTAAATAGGAAAAGGTAAAAAAAAATAATTATAACTTCTACAATACATTATATTTAATTTCTTCCTTTCTGCATAGCAGTAAATCTAGTGAATTATTACTGATCAAATATAGTGAATTGTTAGGATGCACCTAAGTTTTATATTTATCTGCCAATTAACAAACGAATTTTCAAGGCTAGTTTGGTATTACTGAAATTATTTTAAAAGTTGAGATTAAAATTGTGTTTGACAAATGAAACAAAAGTGTTTTTTTGTCAAAATTAGAAATCAAAAGCAGCTCTACCTTGCTTATGAAAACAACATATTTTTTTTTTACAGCACAACAACTCCAAACTAGTCATCAGTTTATCCTTTCAGTTTTTTTATCCAAAATACAGTTGAGCATATCAAAATATAAATAATTAAAATTTTATTTAAATATCCAACCGCTTATATCTTTGACAGCCAACAGGATCCTCTTCGGATCCATTTGGTGAGAATTATGAGAATCTGTAAATCGTATTTATTTATTGTACATCATATAGTCAATTTTTATCGGGTACTGATTGTGTTTAATTTTAAATAAAAATATTTAAAATAATTTCTGATCATATGATACACGAACTATCTCTGAATTCTCAGGATTCGGATTCCTTTGACAGTAGGCGACTGGTTGGGTTAGAGCAGCGCTCGAACCGGAGTTTAGGGCGCTTTACGGAAAAATACTCTCTCCCTCCCTCTGCTTTCTCTCTCTCTTCCCATCGCCCACTCTCACTTCACCCACCCGCCAACATATTATTGTCTTCCTCCCTCCAAAGTTTGAGGGCGTCGCAGTAATATATTCATACGTCCAAGGGGACTAACGAATTTGCGGCCGGCGTCGAGGTTTAACGGACGGCGGATTCTTTCTCGGGTAAGTCCGATTCAGATTCTACGAAATTTGAGATTCGGAAACCCTAGTTTCTACTGTATTTGATGTTTGGTGATTTGTGTGATTGGATTACAATGTGAGCGTCAAACCCCTGAGAATTTAGGGTTTTAGGTGGACGAACTTCCAGTTTTATTTTGATTGTGTTGTTGGGATTGTGCTAAACACTTGGAATTATAAGCTATTGACTTGTGTTTTTGGTTCTTAGAGTGTGTTTTGATGGATTCTCCTCAACGTAGTCGGAGTCATGTGAAACGAGAGGTGGAGGATAGCTCAGATTTGAGGCGTGATAGGGCTGGAGACGATGAAGAGTGGGAGGGCAGTGATAAGAGGAAGCACAGGTCAAGCCGATCAAGAAAGTCCGGTAATGGAGAAGACACGGGAGGAATGGAGAGCAGTGGAAGAAGGAGAAGTTATGGGGACAGAAGTGAGAGCCGAAAGAGATCAGGTGGCTCTAGCATTGCAGATAGTGATGAAGACGATTATGACTCAAGAAAAGAGTTGCGTTCTAAGCAGATGAAGAAAAAACAAGAAGAGAGCAGTTTGGAAAAGTTGAGCAGTTGGTATCAGGACGGGGAATTAGAGAACAGGCAAGATGGCGGAGATAAGTTGGGAGGTAGAGAGTCAGTTCGAGCTGAAGAAAGTGAGAGAAGGAAAATGAGCTCAAAGCTTACACAGCATGAGGATTCTCAGAGTAAAAGTAAGAGTAAAGAGGAAAGACCCCATGACGGAGAGCTTGAAAAGACACTTGGTAGAGATTCCAGGCATTCGGAGAGTAAGGAGAGCAGCCGCGAGAGGACACATGGTTCTTCTGAACAGGTGAAGACCTCGAGAAGAAGATGGGATGATTCAGAAGGTGGGAGAAAGGCAGAAGAAAGTCATTATGAAAAATCCGATTCAAGAAGCAGTAAGCCTTCTGATCCTAAGTATGAGAGTTCTAAAGAGAAGAGTGTCTCTGCGAGAAATGAACCCAGCGAGAGTAGAATCCGGGGTGTGGATTCAAACAGTGATAGGGCTACCAAATCTAACAGGGAAGAGAGAAAACCTGATGTGGAAAAGAGTAAGAGCAAAACCAGGCCAGAAACACTGGAAGAAGACAACAGGGATAGTCCTGTCACTCGTGAAGATAGATCAGGCAGGGAGAAAACTGAAAAGCATAGACAGCAGAGAACTCCAACTGGTCGGGATGTTGCTGAAAGCAAGGAGCGGTCTTTGAATGCAGATGAAGCAAATGCGGGGACGAAAGACAAGGGTCCTAGAGAAGGAGGAAGTACCACCAGGACGAGGACACCTGAGCGGAGTGGGAGGCGTTATCAGGATTCAGAATACTGTGAGATGGATTATGACAGGAGTTTTAATCTCAAGCGGAAGGAACTGGATAAAGATGGTTATAGAGATGATCGATCAAAAGGGAGAGATGAAAGCTGGACTGACAAGAGTAGGGACCGAGAAGGTTCCAAAGAGAACTGGAAAAGAAGGCAACCCAGTAGTAGTGAAAAAGACTCCAAAAATGGGGACATGAATTATGATCATGGTAGAGAGTGGGAGCTGCCACGGCATGGTCGTGAGAGGACTGACAATGAAAGGCCTCACAGTCGGTCTGGTAATAGGAAAGATGGAAGCCGTGGTGAAGCTGTGAAGACCTCATCAAATTTTGGAATTTCAAATGAAAATTACGATGTGATTGAGATCCAAACTAAGCCTATAGATTACGGAAGAGGAGACTCAGCATCCAACTTTGCTAGGAGGACCGAAGCTGGTCAGCAATCTGATGGGAGATCAGCGCCAAGTGATGAAGAGTGGGCATATCTGCAGGATGACAGGACAAGGAGGAGTGATATGTATGGATCTGGACCACCTAGAGAAGATTCAAAGGAAAGATATTCAGATGATATTAACTCCCTGCGAGATCAGAATTCATGGAGGGAGGACTCTGATGCCTATGGAGGCAAAGGTCGAGGACAGAAAGGTTCTATGCCTGGGCGTGGTGCTGGTGGCCAAAGTTCTGGTGGTGGCTTACAGCCTCCATATGGAAATGCAGAGCCAAGTTCCTTCAATAGAAATGCTTCACAAGGGATGAAAGGGGGTAGAGTAGGTAGAGGAGGAAGGGGTAGGCTTACTGGAAGAGATAGCCAACCGGTAGGAATCCCACTTCCAATAATGGGATCGCCGTTTGGCCCTCTTGGAATGCCACCACCTGGACCCTTGCAGCCACTTACACCTAGCATGTCACCTGCTCCAGGTCCACCAATGTCCCCTGGCGTCTTCATTCCACCATTTTCTCCTCCTGTGTGGCCTGGGGCTCGGGGAGTTGACATGAATATGTTAGGTGTCCCACCTGGTCTCTCCTCGGTCCCTCCTGGATTATCAGGCCCAAGATTTCCTCCTAATATGAGTACTCCGACAAACCCTGCCATGTTTTTTAACCAATCTGGCCATGGAAGAGGAGTTCCTCCAAACATATCTGGCCCTGGTTTTAATTCTGCAGGACCAATGGGACGAGGAACTCCGGCTGATAAAAATCAAGGTGGTTGGGTTCCTCATAAAAGTAGTGGACCTCCTGGTAAAGCTCCTTCCAGAGGAGAGCAGAATGATTACTCGCAAAATTTTGTCGATACTGGTATGCGACCCCAGAATTTCATCAGGGAGCTAGAGCTTACAAATGTTGTGGAGGATTACCCCAAGCTGAGGGAGCTTATACAGAAAAAGGATGAGATTGTGGCTAATTCTGCTTCACATCCCATGTATTACAAGTGCGACCTGAAAGAGTTTGAGCTATCCCCAGAGTTCTTTGGAACCAAGTTTGATGTCATTCTCGTGGATCCACCTTGGGAGGAATACGTTCATCGTGCTCCTGGTGTTGCTGACCACACAGAGTATTGGACGTTTGAAGAAATAATGAATCTTAAGATTGAGGTAGTATATCTGCAAATCACATTTTGTTTCCCTGACAAAAGACTAGAAATAGGCATCCCTACGAGCTTATGGCAAACTTGCTGCTTAATTTTAACTTCATAGTGGTAAATCATAAATCAGTTATCAACAGGTGCTTCATATGATTAAATATTAGCATTTTAATATTCTTTAAGCTGCACATACATTTATATGTATTTTACTATATTAGACACTTAGACTAATTCATATGCCATACAGGTTTAATTGTTGCCTTTATGTGCTTCCTCTTACATTTGACTCAATAGTTGAACTTTTGTCTTTTGTTCTCTCAGGCAATAGCAGACACACCTTCTTTCATTTTTCTTTGGGTGGGTGATGGCATGGGTCTTGAGCAGGGTCGTCAATGTCTAAAAAAGGTATTTAATCCAGAATTTTTTATTCGATTCTAAACACAACGTGTGGTTGCCTTTATTGCTGTAATATGATGTTGGATAATATGTTTGTGTAAACAAATTGTGATTATCTACATCTAATCAATGTGGTCCTGCAGTGGGGATTTCGTAGGTGTGAAGATATATGTTGGGTGAAGACAAACAAAACTAATGCAACTCCTGGTTTGCGCCATGATGCTCATACTTTGTTTCAGCACTCAAAGGTTGGTGTAATTTTTCTTGTGTACACCTTCATCTTATTAACTGCCCTCCCCCCTTGTTGAAAATGCTTTGTGGTACGTTAATTGCTTTTTAAATAGTTTGTTCTGTTGCCAATACAATGAAGGAACATTGCTTAATGGGAATAAAAGGCACCGTTCGTCGCAGCACTGATGGCCACATAATTCACGCCAACATTGATACAGATGTGATAATAGCCGAGGAACCCCCGTACGGTTAGTAACCACATCAAGAAAGCTGAGTTTTATTACTATCTGTGAATCATGGTTTAAAGCTGAAGAATAGTGTGGGTGTTTATCTCAATGTTTCTGTGATCAAGTCGTATGATGTGTAATGAGCTGGTGGCAATAACTTAGTCTGCTGTTGAGTTTGCTCCTTGTGTCTAAAATGAGTTAGATGTTTTATGCTGTTGGTTTATATACATGTAACGAAATATAAGCAAAATAACTTGGTATTCTTTGCAACTGTTGATCCTTTGCCTGTGAGGAATAAACTTTTCTTGCTATTTCTGTTATGTTTTAGATATTAAGCGAGTTTTTTTAAAATAGTAGTGGCATGCATAAATGGTGACACAATTATCTCTGTAGCGAAATTTTACTTTAGGTGTAAACACATAAAAAATAGTCGTACCCTCGTACAATTAAACAAAATGAGGAATGGGGGAGATATTACATTATTCTTGGTTCTTGTGATACCATCCCATTTTGCATCTAAAGCAATGAAAATGAGAACCTAGGATGCTAAACTATGCCTTCGGAATTGCAGGTTCAACCCAAAAGCCTGAGGATATGTACAGGATTATTGAGCATTTTGCCCTTGGCCGTAGAAGGCTTGAGCTCTTTGGTGAAGACCACAACATTCGGTCCGGCTGGCTGACTGTTGGTAAAGGACTGTCCTCATCGAATTTTAATGCCGAGGTAAAATAGCTTAAGCTCAAATTCTTGGTGTTTTTTTTTTTTTTGTTTGGTTTTATGTTGCAAAGTAGAAATTATTTCTTTATCAAATCATGAGTTATTCATTGGAATATGAATAACCATACATGCCCAGAAGTGGGTTTAAAGTCGGTTAATTATAACACTGCATCGATCTTGTTCCCTTGTCGACACGAAAATCTGTTTCATGATTTGTCCAGGGATATACCAAGAACTTTGCTGACAAGGACGGGAAGGTTTGGCAAGGAGGGGGTGGACGAAACCCACCTCCAGAGGCACCTCATCTTGTGGTGACAACTCCAGACATAGAGACCCTTCGGCCCAAGTCACCGATGAAAAACCAGCAGCAATTGCAGCAGCAGAATTCATCATCCATTTCTCTTACGCCCGCAAATTCCTCCAACAGAAGACCTGCCGGAAACTCACCGCAAAATCCAATTGCTCTTGGTGTAAACCAAGAAGCTTCAAGTTCTAATCCCTCAACTCCAGCTCCTTGGGGGCCTCCACCAATGGAGGGTTTTAAAGGGCGAGACGGCAACAGTATGCCGTCAGATGATAAGGTTTATGATATGTATGGATACTCAGGACAGCCAAATGGAGAGTTTCTAGATTTTGAGTCTCACAGGCACATGAATTTGTTGTAACGAAACGAGGAGTGATATTTCTTTTTATTTGTATTGTAATTCTTTTTCCCTCTTGTATAAATGGAAAGAAAATGCGTCCATCTTCGTTATTGTTCATCTGTTTCCCTTTCATCTTGAATAAAATTGCTCTGAATTTATAATCTTCGAAGTCGAAGAAACCGCGGTACAAACCCGAAACAAACCGAAATGTCACTTTCTAAAAAGATGGCGTTTCTGCATCAGTACTAGGTCAAAATCATGCTCTTAGATGAGATTACAGGCACCTTTTTGTACCCAATTATACAGAAATTCTATGGACTTAAACTATTTCCATCAACAAAAATTGAGAAGGAACAACAAAAGTGGGATTTCTCAGCTCCATTCATCCTCCGTCAAGCTTCATGTCTCGAACTTGACAAATTTGAGAGTTACGAAAAATTGGCAAGCATCCGTCAATCAACTGTGAGTTGTTCTTATGTCTCACTTTGAGGTTGTTGGGGTGAAGGCGTTCCAGCGGCAGTTTCTTCAACAGTTTGAGGTGGTTGGGGTGAAGGCGTTTTTGCAGCAGTTTCTTCAGCTGTATCTGTTACCAATGTAAGCATACAACAATGTTAACAACAGCGAGATAGAGATGTATACATTCAACAAAGTTATCAAGAGAGAGATTTAACGACGACTAACCTTGAGATGGAGTCTGAGGTTCAACCTGACTTTCTGCTGGAGCAGATACCTGTGCCTTCTTTTGGGCAGCTGCTAGCTGCTCCTCTGTGATCTTTAAGTACTCTTCTGCGGTGTATGCTCTGGGTGGTGACGGAACCCCATCTGCATTGGATAATTGACAGGTCAGGATTTAATAAAGAGACAAGAAACTATATGCACTGAATCATACAGCGAAAACATGAATCCGATAAAAAAATGGCTAAACAGTGAATATTTTCCTCTAAACGTATTTTCCTCTAGTTACTTGGATTTGTCATTTTTCCTATTATTGGTTCATATCCTAAACCTCATAAATTTTCACAAAACTTCCATAATGTGTCAGATGATCTAATGGCAATTTGACATATTAATCGCTTACTGGGGTCAGCCGTGGCAGTTGATGAAGAAGTTGAATTCTTGCTCATTATTCTGGCATTGTATGCATCTATTGACGATAAACTTGAAATGTCTGGAGTTTTGGAATCTTCATCCGTGGTTTTGGAATCTTCAATCGTAGTTTTGGAATCTTCAGTCATGGTAGTTGATGAAGGGGTTGAAGTAGTATCCATTTTCTTGCCATTGAATGCATCTATTGTTGAACTAGAAATGTCATCAAGACCGATCTCCTTTTCAAGGGTGCTCTTGAAATCCCTTGAAACTTCCTGCAGATGCACGTACATGCAACATTGACATCCTTCTCATAAGAGGCATAAACATACATTTCAAATGAAGTTAATATTACCTACCTGAAGTTCTTTAATGGTGGGCTGAAAAGCACGCAAAGTCTTTCCTAATGTCCTAGCAACCTGCACGAAGATAATCGTTACTCAGGAATGCCAAAAGATCTGCTAAATTGTCAACACTAAGGTTATCAATTTTTTTTCTAAAGCTTGTCATCCTCGACCCCATCATTACTTCAATCAATGAGTTTTGATCAACAACAATTCTGTGAGGGGTTCATATACCAATCAGGCCCTAACCCTCCACAGCCCTCTATCCCTGCTACTTAAACCGAGAATACATGCATCCACATGAGAAATTAAGGGCTCGTTTGGGATTACTTCTGGGAAGGTCAAAAGCGCTTTTGACGACAGAAACGTTTAGAAGTGTTTCTAGTTTATGGAAGCATTTGTAGTGTTTCCTGAGAGAAGCACCTATCAAGTGCTTACTTGGGAAGTGCTTCCAAAAGCATTTTCAGGAAAATCTTGGATTTTAAACATGATTGTGCTTCCAGCATAAGCACTTCGGATGAAAGCACTAATGAGTAGAAGTGTCTTCTACAAAACAATTTCAGACCTAAACTTCCAGCTACAATATAACATACCACTCACCTCAGCAAGTCCCTTGGGACCAAAAACCAGCAAAGCCACTACTCCAATAACCAGAGCCTCAGGAGCTCCAACACCAAACAGCGATGCATAAACCACCATACCCTTACACCTTCTCTTCCTCTCTGCACCGCCAAATCACAAACGAGCTGGACTGATTAACCAAAACAGCAAACAAATTGCAAAATCCAAGAAAAACCCATGAACCCAAATGCTGAAAAGCTACCTAATTTCAAAGACTTCGGTGCGAACGAGACGCCCAGATGCTTCAACCCAGTCCATGGCGAGAAAGGGCTGAGACCCAGTGGCGGAACCACAGAACAGAGCTGAAATTTCGGGTCTTTGCGGCGGAAGGCGGCTGCTTTTGTGCCTCTGGCGGCGGATGACGACGAGCACACAAATGTGGTAGGAGCAGCAGCAACGATGGACGCCATGGCCATCAGTTCGAGATTTTTGATAGTTTTGGAGTCATGAGCTCTGGTGACGGTCCAAAATTATACCAACCAGAAACATTAAATGTGTTTTCAGTTTTCGGCATTTCTGGGTGGGCCTTGAAATGTGGGCTTGATCTATACTTTTTGTTGGGCCAGTAACACTGCCCAAATGTTGTTGGTTTGCTCTTCTTTGGCCCAAATGATTGATGTTATCTGTTTTTTCAGTTACAGGGGAGGGACAGCGAGTGAAGGAAGATTCGAACACAAGACCTTGATTGCAGAAGTAAACGTTGGTATATGGGTTGAATGATTTTTCAAACAATCGGATACTCTAAGCTACTTTAATTTATCCAGAATTGATCGAATTCCGAGTGTGAGGCGCAGCGAGATCAAAACATCTTTTTATAGGTTAAGTCACTTCTTAAAGATGGCTCACCTTATTCTACTACAATCCAAGCAACATAATTTCTTAATCAACTGAACTAAAACATATTTGTAAGCAGTGTTTAAAATATCGGTATCGGTGATATACAAATTTGTTGAAATATCGATGGATATGTTGATATATGTGTAGACATCAAAATTTCGGTGAAATAAATGTTGACCAATAATTAAAATTTCAACGTTCACGTGTCACATAAATTTTACATGTAGCGTGTGATTCAACGAAAAATCGAAATAAATTGGAAAAGTCATCAAGTGTGACACGTGTCAACACCTGGCAGAAATGATTTATTTCATCTGATTATTTAAATCCAAAAATCAAGTTTTGGAATTCTATAAATAGGAGGCCAAGGCATTCATTTTGGAGGGGGGAAGAAGAGAAAGAAGGAAGGAGAAGGAGAAAGGAAAAGAAGAAAAGAAGGAAGGAAGAAAGAAAGAAGCCTTGAAACTCTAAAGCTCTCAAGCAAATCCCGAAGGATCAAGAAAGCAATCTTCGTTCTTCGTCAAATCCACCTTCAAGATCAAGCCCCGACGGCCCTTGAAGAACTTCCACCAACTCAAGATCAAGCCCCGACGGCCCTTGAAGAAAGTGTTCATCGTTCATCATCCGTTCATCCTAAGATCAAGCCCCAACGGCCACTTTGGATCAACAACCTCAACAAATCCTCACATCCAACCAACCTTCAAGATCAAGCCCAAAAGCCCTTGAAGATCCGCTCATCCACCAACCTTCAAGATCAAGCCCAACGGCCTTTGAAGAACTTCCACCAATTCAAGATCAAGCCCCAACGGCCCTTGAAGAACTCCCACCAACTCAAGATCAAGCCCCGACGGCCCCTTGAAGAAAGTGTTCATCATTCATCAACTGTTCATCCTAAGATCAAGCCCCGACGGCCCTTTGGATCAACAATTCATCCACAAACGTACACCCTTCGAAGATAGAATCAGAGGACCAAATTACAAAGAGATTGTAACCCCAAAATCATTAATACAAAATATATATTTTGTACACGTATTCTTGTCGCTTGTTTCAGGAATTTCTCGTGTTTACAAATTTGGCACGCCCAGTGGGACAATCTCTACCTCTCATCTCTATCCTCAAATCATCAAAAAACGCAAATGGCATCAAGAAAGGATCAAGCTGTTCCTGCAATCAAAGCAAAGAACAAGAACATCATCGCCGCAAGTGGTGATATTTCGGGCATCATAACCCGAAGTAAGGCAAGAGATCTTTTTGCCGCAGCTTCCGCCCCTGCATTAACTCTGTCAAAGGAACAAGAGCACCTGAGGTACGAGCCTGTGATCACCCTAGCCTCGCTAAGGGCATCAAAAGGGGAGAGCCCAAAGAAATACTCAGAGTCCCTACTCTCCGAAGCTGATTCGAGCGGCAGTACAACCATGCAAGTCATGACCACTGGAGCAACTTCAATCGAGGAGCAGCTAGCTCAGATGAATGAAGCAATAGCAAAGCTCACACGAACTGTGGAAGAGAAGGACTTGCAAATTGCCGCACTTGTCAACCAACTAGATGCGCTGCCCGACGTGAAAGTTGACCCAATTGTTGGCCTATTAAAGAAAGAAGGCGACGAAGAAGAGGAGCCACCAGTGGAGAAAGTCGAAGAAAAGCTGAAGCTAGACCAAGCCACGACATCCATGAGATCTCTCTCTATCCAGCAACTACAGGAGATGATTGCAAGCACTATCAAGACACAGTACGAAGGAAGCTCGCATGACTCCGTATTGTACTCAAAGCCTTACTCCAAGAAGATTGATGCTTTGAAGATGCCAAGGGGTTATCAGCCCCCAAAATTCATGCAGTTCGATGGAAAAGGCAACCCGAAGCAACATGTCGCCCATTTCATTGAAACTTGCAACAATGCTGGGACAGAGGGAGACTACCTCGTCAAACAGTTCGTGCGTTCGCTGAAAAGTAACGCTTTTGACTGGTACACTGACCTCGAACCTGAGTCTATCAACAGTTGGGACCAGCTAGAAAGGGAATTCCTCAACCGTTTCTACAGCACTCGTCGTACTGTAAGCATGTTAGAGCTGACCAGTACGAAACAGTGGAAAGATGAACCTGTCGTCAACTACATAAATAGATGGCGCTCCTTAAGTCTGGATTGCAAAGATCGGCTTTCTGAAACCTCTGCCATTGAGATGTGCGTTCAAGGCATGCAGTGGGGACTACACTACATCCTTCAAGGCATCAAACCACGAACATTTGAGGAGTTAGCCACCCGCGCCCATGATATGGAGTTAAGCATCAACCGTCATGGGAAGAAAGAACAAATCGCCGACTACAAGAATGACAAAGTTTTGGGGCCAAAGGTGGATAAGGCTACGTGGAAACCCACCAAGGAAGCAATGACGGTCAACACAACTCCAGTCAAAATCCCTACACGAAGCAAGGCAATTCAAACCGAAGCTTTTCGTGATCAAGAGATACGTAGACGCACTTTGAAGGAGCTTGAAGAGAAGACTTATCCATTCCCCGACTCTGACGTGGTTGCCATGTTGAAAGACTTGCTTGACAAAAAGGTGATCGACCTACCTGAGTGCAAACGGCCAGAAGATATGAACCGTACTGACAGTCCAAGGTACTGTAAATTCCACCGCTTCATTAGTCATCCGACGGAAAAGTGCTTTGTGCTAAAAGATCTCATCATGAAGTTGGCTCAGAAAGGGATCATCGAGCTAGATCTTAATGATGTGGTGAAGTCAAACTATACCACCGTCACTTCTGGCTCTTTGAACTCAAAATCTTCACCTCAACCGCTGGGGGCATGCTCCAAAACCATGTCAGTCAAGTCAAGTGAAGTTGAAGGGTGGACTTATGTCACTCCAAAGAAAATGCACAAGAAACATAGGTCTCTTCCACAAGTTCACCAATCGGAAAGGGGGCAAAGCAGCTACCGTCAACCTTCAAAGCTACATGAAAGTGTTGAGGATGATGAAGTTATGACACAAAGATCGTCCGTTGCCATCACGATGCGCGATTTCTTCCCCAAAGACTTCTTCAATCACTCAGTCAAGACTCCTTGCTATGAAGATCGCAAGGAATGCCCCTCTAAGATTGTTTGACAAATTTAAAAAGCTCCTCGTTCGCACGAGCCTAAAAGGCGACAACCAAAGCTCCTTGTCCGCACGAGCATAAAAGGCGACAACAAAACGCTCCTTGCCTGCATGAGCTGAAAATGCAAACGGCACCAAGACGCTCCTGGCCCGCAAGAGCATAAACTGTGTACGGCAAAATCATCATCAAAATCATCATCAAAATCATCATTAAAACCATCACTCATTTGAACTACGTTATGGCTTGATCTCTTCTTTGGAAGAGTACGTAGGCAACTTGAAATTTCAAAACTTCAAGTACAGTCACATCAAAATAAATAAATAAATGTTTCATTAAAGAAAGTCAATATTATTACGTTCTTTGTACAAAAAATTACATGTTGTTGGTTTCCAAAGAAAAAAAAAAAAAAAAAAAAAAAAAAAGCAAAATGTCGACAAGCCCAAAATGGTGGGCTGGATTGTTGTGTTGAGGACAAAGTCCCATATACCCAAAAGAACCGGGCCCTACTCACTCCCAAAACCTGCTCAAGAGCTCTTTCAGTGGGCTCAAGGCAACCACATCTTTCAATTGCGAAACCGAGACCTCGTTCTCAGGCAAAGAAACTGCCAAGGCTCTTCGAGTTTCTTTCGCTTGAAAAGCCCACAAGGATGCCCAGGTGGTTCGGTCTCAGTTCCAGCCCCAGGCCTCTTATAAAGTAGCTGTTCTTGGAGCTGCTGGTGGGATTGGTCAGCCACTGGCTCTTCTGATCAAGATGACGCCTTTGGTCTCCTCCCTGCATCTTTACGATATTGCTAATGTCAAGGGTGTCGCTGCTGACTTGAATCACTGCAACACTCCCTCCGAAGTTCTCGATTTCACTGGAGCAGCTGAGTTGCCCAGTTCCTTGAAAGGTGTGGATGTGGTGGTCATTCCCGCTGGAGTTCCAAGAAAGCCTGGTATGACCCCCAAAATAAAATATTCAGAGAAAAAGCTCGAATCTTTAACTGCAGTATTGCAATTCTAGTTGCAATTCGACAGATCTGAAAAAAAAAGCTCCAGCTTCTGCTCCTCCCTCGCCTTCCTCCTCGTCCGCGTCTTCCGCCTCGTCGACGCTGTCTCCATCTCCCGCGACCTCTACCTCAAGTCGGTCATCCCCATCGGCGCTCTCTGAGCCTTCTCCCTCCGCCGCCAGCCGACACGTCAGCAGACGACGCCATCGTTGATCAGGAAGTGACCGATACTGAGTGGTTCTTTCTGGTGTACATGACTCAGACGTTCGTCAACGGCAGCGGGCTCCCGGGTCAGGCCTTCTTTCACTCCACCGGAAACTTCACCCTCAATTCCCAGCAAAAGGACTCCTATCTGCTAAAAGTTTGAAGCTTTCGGCTTCAATTTGAGGAACCCAGCAAGAAAACGAGGACAATTTTGGAGTCGCAAATTATGCCGGGGACGGCGCTCTCTCTTTGTCGATCTTCCTCTCTCTCTCGCTGCTGTTAATTTATACCAGCTCAATTAGCATTCTAATCACCAAAAGATACAGCAATCAAGAAGAAGAAGAAAACGA